ACACCCAACCTGGGCACCCCACTCTCCAACTCCCACTCTGTCTTCATATCCTCGCCATGAGCCCTATGGCACTGACCCTCCCAACTTAGCAGACACTGAGATGGGGTCTTACCAGCGTGGCCCAGTGGGAACTTTATTGATAATTCTTGTTGTCTGTGCTTTCTCTGTGGGGATCCTCTGCCCTGATCCAGCCAGAGTCCCAGGTAACGTAACACAAAAGCCCAGCACGACAGTTGAGATGTGTGTACAGCTTGGCTACCATCAGCATCAGCCACAGCAGGGGCCTTCCTGGTCCCACCCCTCCCCACTGGGAGCCCCTAGATGGTGTTGCACTGGGACCCTGGAACCCATCTGGAGCCAGGCTGTCTGTGGAGACAGGGGTGTGTCCTTGATGCCTCTTCCCCGGCACAGGCTCGGAACAAGGGATCTCCAGCACCCATCTGGCCTATTCTCTTGCTGTTAAAAGGGCCTCAGGTGTCCTTGAATAATGGTGGTCCCTGAAGATCTTCTCAGGAGAGACTGTCCAAGGACAGACTATTCTAAGAAGAGTCCCTGACCTCACGAAGGGATCAGCTGCAAAGGCCAGGGCTGCTCTCCTGTCCTTGGCTCTTAGGGTAGCATCCATCACTGCTCTGCCGTCTGAGACTCCGACACACAGCCTCCCGCTAAGCAACATCTTGAGGCTAGAGAAGAGGAGATCCAGGAAGGAAAGGGATCCTGGCATTTTAGCCCTCTGGAGCAGATGCCTCTAGTAGTTGCTGAATTCAGAGGCCTGTGTTTGCTGCACCCTTGTGGCTGTCAGAGGCGCTCACATGAGCCCATAAATAGCCAATGGCAAAGCTTCACTCATCCAGAGCCTCCTGCACTGAAGGCCCAATCCTCCAGGTAGTGGGTCTGCATAGGCAGGTGAGGACAGCATTACAGCCCAGGGGGTAGGGAGCCATCCTACAAAGCTCCCCATTTATCTACAGGGGAGGCCTTCCAAGATTCCTAACAGATACATGAAAACTGCCCATCACTGCTAAACACTGGCTGGAACTGGGATGGTGTGTGAGGCCACAGGAAATATGACAGGAATTTTCTTTTCCTTCTCCATAAGTTGATGGATCAAAGATTGATCCTCCAGGGTCTCAGCACTTGGTATCTATTTCTTTACTCATACATGAAGAACATTCACTTTTCACTTGAGGGAATTGCTTCGAATTCCCTCTTGGGCATTCAGAATGCCACATGATCCCCCTTGCCTACCAGGGCATCATTAAGTGAAATAATGGCACCTGGCCCTACGCACTGACCACAGACCTGGTTAGCCATGCTGAGACTGGCGGGTAAGGGGCAGAGCTAACACAGAGCGGATGCATAGGGACAAGGCTCAAACAGTGCACGGAAACTTAAAGGTTTATTTCTAAAAGAAGGAGATACAAATGTGAAAGGAGGCTGCACTATACCTATTGCTAAAATGCGTGAGCCTATGCTTAAAGGACCCTAAAGGGAGCTGGCGAGATGGCTCAGCAGTTAAGAACACTAGCTGCTCATCCAGAGGACAGGGTTCCACTCCCAACACCCACATAGTGGCTCACAATCATCTGTAACTCTAGTTCCTGGGGATCTGACACCCTCTTCTGGCCTCTGTGAACACCAGGCACACATGTGCTACACAACCACACATGTGAGCAAAACTCTTATACCCTTCCATCCCCACAAAAAAAAAATAATTAAAGACCCTGCTGAACACACTTAGCTGATAAACACTTTCAGGAAGGATGGGGTGGAAAAGCACCATATCAAGCCAATAGCTTTATATGAAAGAAATCAGAAACAGATCAGAATCCACTCACAATAACTTTTAAAAAGTAAACTACCAGGGTTGGAGAGATGGCTCAGCAGTTAAGAGCACAGGCTGTTCTTCCAGATGTTCAGATTCCCAGCGTCCACACGGTGACTCAGCCGTTTGTAACTCCATTTCCAGGAGATCCAGTGCCTTGTTCTGGCCTCTGCAGGCACCAGGCATGCATTTTGTGTACAGACATACATGCAGGCAAACACCATATGCATAAAGGAATAAAAATTTCAAGTTAATTTTTAAAAAGGAATCTATGTAGTAAAGGAGGTGAAAGACCTCTACAGTGAGAACTTTACAACACTGAAGAAGAAACTAGAAGATGCTAGAAAAAGGAAAGGTGTCCAATGCTCATGAATACGTAGGTAATATTGTGGAAATGTCCAGGTTAGTGGAAGTGGTCTATAGGATGAACTCAGTACCTATCCAAATGCCAACAATATGCTTCACAAATCATTAAAAAAAGATTACTTCAAAACAATCTATTTGGATCAAACAGTCCCAAATAGCCAAAG